TGGATATAACCTAACGGAATATCTTCAGAACAGCTCCTAATGACACAAAACTCATATGGGTGAGTAGAACATGATGTAATAACGTAAAATCAAGGACCCAATGTAAAAAAGAAAAAAAAAAGAAAAGAAATTCCCCTTTAATATCACAGACTGGTTCTAATAAATCCTGTATGAAAGGAAGCTGATCAGGACCAAAATGTTACCGGTTCCTAAAAACACCTTTAATAATTTAATCATGTGGTTTGGATGGTCCTGTTGGAACATCCAAGTACGTCCAATGCGCAGCTTCAAGGGCTGATGAGCACAAGTTTGCCTCCAGCAATTGTGTTCATGTGTAGCTCAAATATCGCCAAAACCTCCATGATTTACAGTAGGAATGGTGTTCCTTGTTGACACCTCCTTGCGGAGAAAATGTTTCATTCCGGTTTCTTCTCTCCAAATCAACTTGTTCCAGGATTCTAGTGCTTTTAGGTTTCTGTGCTGTTTGGTGTATTTTCACAGTAATTACCGTGCAGGTGACTCCTTATTGTGCATCTTGAAACAGCCGCACCACTAGTTTTCAGAGCTTTGCATTTCATCTGATCTTATTTCTGGGTTCTTCTTTGCATTCTGGACAATTATCCTGACCTAACTGTGCCTGATTTTCCATTTGTTAATCCCAGTTTAAACAGTGCTGACAGGCATCATCAATTCCTTGGATATCTTTTGTATCCCTTGCCTGATTTATAAAGTTCAACAACCTTTCCTCACAGAATTTATGAGACTGTGTGTTTGATTAGCAGGAATCAAATAAAGGGAGGGTGAAAGGAATAGAAATACAAGGAAGTAAACATGAGGAAAGATACAACATTAAGACAATCTGCTAGAGAACTAGAAATATAAATGTTTTCCCATGCTTTCATTTTCTTTCTCCATACCTCAGAAGTCCTTTATCTGATTTTACCGTATTTCCACACTATAAGGCACACTTAAAAGCCTTCTTAAAGTGACAGTATGCCTTATAATCCAGATCAATTTAGACAGGGATTGATTCTGGTTGCTTACTGACCTCAAAGCGATTTGGTGTGGTACACGCCTTTCTGTCAAAATGTTTTAGTCTGACTTTGGTCAACTACAAAGACAAAACACTGCAGCTTCGTTCTTCACCAGATTATTACAGTGCGTTTTAGGACGCCACAATGGCACCTGGCAAATGGCGGCGCTTACTGCACAGACTTCAAACTCAAGTCTAAGCAGTAAAATATGGAAATAGAGAATTTAACATTAATGTAGTGCGCCTTATAGTACAGAAAATACGGTAGCCCTGCCCAGACTGTAGGAACCCTGGCAAAAAAAACATCTTTACCTGTGTGGTTTCCTCGTTGCTCTTGTTCAGGAAGTTCAGGGAGCTCGCTCTTTTCATTCTGTGCAAAAAAAACAACAAAATAAAACAAAGTGTCACTGTGTGGAAAAAGAGAAACTTCTTTATGTGTAGGAGCTGAACACCAGTCACATCCAGAAATAACGACTCCAAATCCCAGCTCCAAACATACTGTACTAAACTAATGACCTTGTATCATAAAAATAATCCTCTCACACCATAGAGAGGCTTAGATAGAGCTCCAAACCAATGGCTCACCATCTTTGCTTGAATCCATGACTAATGTACTGAGTCTATCTGAGTCAAGCAGCTGCTGCTTTATAACTCCTCTCAGCCCTGATTAAACAGCAAACAGGCCAGCTTACATTAAAAAAACATGTAGTTAGTTTTTTTTCTCTTCTTGAAAACTTGCAGGATCCTGTTCCCATCACTGCAAAACACTGAAATCTCAATAAGTCATATTTTTCTTAAAATAACTAAATTTGTTCTTGAATTGAGGAGGTGAGACATTTTGCAAATGGAACGAAACTATTTAGATTTAAAATAAGAAAAAAAAACTATTGCATTGTCTTATTTCAAGTGCATATTATCTAATTATCTTACTTTTAGTGTAAAAATACTCATTACATTTGCAGATCATCTTATTAATCATATCAAATTAAGGATAAATACACTTAATTTCAGACATTTTTGCTCATGTGTAGGTCATTTTTGCAGTGTACATTCAGACAAGTTCAGTCTGCAGGCCCAAAACGATGCAGCAGGAGGTTCTGAAGGGAGAGACTTTAAAACGGAAACTAAAATCATTTTCTTACATCCATGAATAATAAAGCTCCATCTATCAGTAGAGCTCAGATTTATGTCTCCTGACAAAAAATACTGCTCAAAGAAATCTCAAGAGATAAATGAAATAATAAAAAGTGATTGTATCTATTTGCCCATGAACGATATAAAAACATTCTGTGCATAAAAAAAGTCTTCCAGCATAATTAGTTCATTCGTTCAATCAATTCGTAGGTTGATATTTTTGAAAGTGGAAAAAAAAAACGACACTTTTATTAATGCTGAGGAACAGGTTGATGTTTCAACAAATGATGATAAATGATCTAACTTGGCACTAGCTAGATTGATATGAGTTTGGTTCTATGTTATCGACCTGGGATGGCTGCTGGTCAGTCTGAAATGCTACGTTCACACCTAAAGGAGCAAAGGCAGCAGGAGCAGCTAGTTTACATGCAAAGTCAATGGTTGATGTGCATCAAGGCGCAGCAAACGCAGCTGCTGCTGGAGTTGGGAAAATTTAACTTTTGCTGCTCGAGGCGCCGCATCAACCAATCACAGAAGCTGATCTGGGAGCTGGCAGGGAGACAGACACAGCACTGCTGATGCAGATCGCTATGATCACTCCTCTGAAACAGTTTATTAATGCCTAAATTAACCTAAAATGCCGAAATCTGCCAGCAAAACATGTTCGCTTTTATTATCCTAGTGCCTGCAGTTTGGATTACGTACATTAAAAACGCCTTCTAGCCGAGAAGAGGTGGATCAACTCGCTGGTTGTTACAAGACGGACATATTAGTGAGTTTTCAAGATGGATTTATTGTGAGACTGAAAACTCAGATCTAGCAACAATCCAGCTTGCAGCAAAAGGTTGTAAATGATCACAACCAAAAAGAATTATTCAATAAAAGTATTTACTTATTTTAGACCACTGAATGGGTATTAATGATGTATTAACCATTTCTTTTACATGCGTGTGATTTTTCTAAAAACAAACATTCAAAAATTAGTTTTTTTACCCTGGGTTTCTGGGTACCTGATTATTTTTGTTTGTTTTTTTACCCTGAGTTTCGGAGTTCCTGATTGTTTATTTTGTTTTTTTACCCTGGGTTTCGGGGTTTCTGATTGTTTTTTTTTAATGTTTTTTTACCCTGGGTGTCGGGGTTTCTGATTGTTTTTTATGTTTTTTTTTACCCTGGGTTTCGGGGTTCCTGATTGTTTTTTTTTTTACCCTGGGTTTCGGGGTTCCTGAGGTCCGCTGCCCTGCAGCTTCTTCACCAGCATCTCACTGCTCCTCCTCAGAGCATCACGGATCTTTCCAAAGGAGCCGCTGCGACGCAGAGACCCGTTTCCTTCCTAAAAACAGAGCGAGGAAATTACCAATGAGGTACAAAAATAAAAAAAAAAGAAAAAGACCTCTCCATCGTCAGCATATGAACAGCAGGGAGCCAGGAAGTTACCCCGTTCCACTCGGCAGCGTCGTCGCCCTCGCCGTCTCCTCGTCCCCCTGGTCCGTCTCTGCTATGCCGCCTGTTGGCCCCTCCCCCTGGTCCGTCCTTCAGCAGCTCCACCACCTTACTCTGATTTATGGCATCAATTCCCTAAAAAAAAGATAAGGAGCGGATAATAGAAAACACAAAGAGCACAACACACACCCTGCAGACAATGTTGAACTGCTTTGGACCAGAGGGATTAAAACACAAAGCTGCTGCCTGATTATAAATCTTGGCTCATTTTAGGAGATTATAAATCTAAGCTAAAATGCCTTCTGAACTAATCAGGTGATGTAACTTTGGTGCAGAGCCCCCACAGCTAATCTAACAGCAGTAACTCACACAGCACCAGGGCTTTTTTTTAAAAAGTGTTGAACCTGTTTGCGTGACTTGCTGGCACACTCCTCAAGCGTCTCTGCTGCCTCCAGCTTCCCCTGGCGACGGTACAACGCTCCCAAGCTTTTCAGGGTCGTGTTCACAGTGGGACTAGATGGACCAAAAGGAGCAGAATCAGTCAGGATTGTGTCCTATAGAGCTTAAAGCCAATAAATTATCTGTGGTTCTGAAGAACCACAGAAATGGTCTAAAATTCAACCATTAATAATATGCCACTTTCAACTGATTAAAAAGAAGCAATGACTGTAAAATCAAAATTGAGATAAGTCAATTAAAAAAGTGGGTATGTTCTTGAATATAGGAGGTAAAAGAGACATTTTACCAATAGAACAAGAAAATTTACATTTACATTGTCTTATTTCAAGAGCATTTTATCTAAATATCTTAATATTAATATCTTGTTTCTCCTTAAATTGAGCAGTTAAATATGATTATCTGCAAATTAAATGAGTATCTTTGACCTTAAAATAGATAATTAGATATTATACACTTGAATAAAATATTAAGTTGTATTTTCTTATTCTAAAAGGTAAAGAATTTTATTCTATAGGCAAGTGATTGTATTTATCTGCTGAAATCAGGGAGAAATATACTTATTTTAAGGGAAATCGGCTTACTTAGATTTAAATATTTGCAGTGTTTACTGATTTTTCCTTCATGTACCAGAAACATGGAGATTACCTGTCCACCTTGCAGGCCTTGTACCAGCTGCCATATTCCACATACGGCCCAGAGTCCTTCTGTTTACTCTAATTCAGGCAGGAAGAGGCAGACAGAGAGGGATGAAAATTAGTTCAGTAGGTGTAAAACAAGAGCCTGGTAAGACTACAGGAAGTGAAAACGTCTCCATTGACCTTTTCAGTCCATTTGCTAATGTAGTGGCAGGTGAATAAAACTTTAATAACTGACCTTGCTCTCTTCCCTCTCCTCTGCATGCATCCAGATGGGCTTGTTATCATCTAGAAAATGAGACGGAAAATGAAATCATAAAACATTCCTGACCTTTCTGTTTGACTTTTAATAAATAATACTAATTATAACATCAAATATCTACAGAAGAGAATTAGGGCCACTGAAAAAATAAAAAAAGTTAACTGTTTTTTAAATTTTATTTTGTTTTAATATGGGAAAAAAAGTCAGAATTCTGACTTTTTCCCATATTAAACTGAAATAAAATTTAAAAATCATTTAACTTTTTTTTTTTTCCAGTGGCCCTAATCCTCTTCCGTACATATCTCTTGATACACATAACACAATAATAAAATACTGGTGAAAAGTATGAGAAATGTGGTTAAAATCCCCCGAAAAAAGATCTTCCAGACGAATATTGCGTGATTTCTTTGTTCTCTATCACGCCATTTAAAGTGACCCTCGGCTTGTAAACTGACTGCTGCTACAGGGGCTGTAAACAGGCATCTGTGAAGAATTGCACGTCAGATAACTTTCAATCGCTATCAGAGAGAGCCGAGGAAGGTCAGCTGTCATCAAATAGCAGACAAAGCAGCAGATTCTCAGTCATTGTCATTCCAAAAAAGTAAAAAAAAAGTCCACTGGACTTTGTTTCCAAGTTTGAAGACGTTTCCCTTCCCATCTATGAAGCTTTTTCAATTCAAAATGTCAGCAATAACATTGAGTTCGAAGTTTTACATAGTAGGACAGCTTCAACCATGGTTAACATCAGTCTGCTGCACATTCCCAACTGGTTGATCAGTCCAAAGTCCAGTCTCTGCTGGGATTTTTTTTTTTTTTTTTTTTTTTTTTTTTTTTACACACAGCAACTATAGCGGCTATCCTCTTCAATCCAGAAAAGTAGTGCAAAAGATGTCGGCTGACTCAGTATTCCTGCAACCATGCAGGATGCGCAGTTTTACTTGATTAAAGCTACCTGAACTGTTTCTGAACGATGTAGGAACAACGAATGACGGCAGACCTCCGTCTTTGTGCCTCTTCCTATCGACTTTTCACTCTCTAATCCTAGCAAAAAACAGACGCTCATCTGGGTCATAATAATTCCTTTTTTCCAATATTAACATGGTTTTCTTCCACACAGACTTTAAAAGCTGGGCGGTATCATCATCTGACCAGTAGAGGGCGATGCAGCAATGATTACAGGGTTGTGGCATAAAGAAAAACCCGGCGGACGCGGTTAGCTCCTGTCTGAGCCGCTCCACTGACGGCTTTACTCACTGTTGACAGATCCAAACTCCTTCTCATGAGCTCTGGTCAGGATCTCTTTGTACAGAGCCTCTGCATCTTTAAACTTGCCCTGCTTCAGGTAGCATGTGGCCTAAAAGAACAACAGCATAAATCAGAGTTTAAAGATATGACTTTTCACAAAAAGAAGTGCAATAAAGTGGGTCCAAATGTGACTAAGAGGTAGTAGAGAAAGCAGACGGTGGGTTCCCACCAGGTTATTTTTGGTCCTGGCTACACTGGGGTCATCGGCTCCCAGTTTGGACTCAAAGATCTCCAGGGCCCGTTTGTAGTAGTACTCCACCTCGTCGTACTTGGCCTGGTTCAGGCACAGCAGGGCCAGGTTGTTCAGCTGCTTGGCTACATCCGGATGAGATCTGCCCAGCACCTGAGGGCAGAAAGGAGACGGCCTCATGAGCGTTTGGGAGACGGATTTGCAAAAATGCTTTGCATTTGGCTTTTCATTCAAATGCGGTGGTTTCCGTTGGCGCTGGGGGCCTCTCACCTTCTCCCTGATCCCCAGGGCCCTCTTGCAGAGGGGCTCGGCCTCTTTGTATTTGCCCCTCTTGCCGAACAGCACAGCCAGGTTGTTGAGGGTTGCAGCCACAGCTGGGTGGTCCTTGCCCAGGGTTTTCTCTCTGATAGCTAGGGCGTCATTCAGAAGGTGAGTTGCTTCTTTATATTTGTTTTGGTCCCTGGAAACACAAAAAAGCCCCAGAGTAGTAAAAAAAAAAAAATCTTCATTAGTATTGACCGTGTTAGAGAAGACAGCGCCTCACCTGTACACCAAGGCCAGGATGTTGAGCATGGTGGCCACGTCGGGGTGGTCGTGTCCGGACGACTTCTCCAGATCCTCCAAGGCCTGCTTGCAGAGAGGCACGGCCACTTCGTACCGGCCCTGGGAGGCGTACTGGATCACCAGGTTGTGCAGCGTCCTGAGACGATTGGGGACCTCGTAGCCCCCCTGCTGGGCTGCTGCCTCCCCACTGGGCTGGGCTGAAACAGACCCATCACACAGAGTCACATCACTTCCCTATAGGCCCAGAAATCACAAGGCAATGAATAAAACAGGAAAGCCTGGTGTTGGTTTAGTTTTTAGTGATTCAATCTGTGTCTTCCAGTAGTTAAAACCCTTGTTAGACTGTCCTGTAGTTATAGGGTTAAAGTTCAGTATGAGTAATTAATGGTAAAATTTTCTGGTCTAAAAGAAACAGCTGGAGCAAAGGTGACACAAAAGAAAAGATGTTAAGTAAACTTTTTTTAGACGATTCTTAAAGCATTTCTTTGAAGACATAGAGTTTTTAAACATTTAGGGAATAAAATAAAATAGCTTAAATTTGCAAAAACCCTGAGCAATGTAAAGGAACATCTACTGGCATCAACTGAAACTCTTTTTAATCTGTTGCTCAATTTTACTGCCCGTCACACTTAAATAGGATCTCTGTTTACATATAAAGACTTAAAAAAAATAAAATCATAGTTTTCATGTCATTTCATTAAAAAGAAATGTTGCTTTTCTTAAAATAGAGCAATACAAAAGAAACATGAGGTGTTTAGTTTCAGTGGCTGCATCATCTAAGGACCCGGTCTGCCTGGACTGCGTCCTTTGAGGTGCATGAAAATAAGGAGACCGGAAGAGTTTTGGCTTTGGATTCAGACTGGTCCAGCCTTCTACAGCTTTCACTGCCCATACGCTCTGTCACCTAGCAACCTTAACACTTGACGCCAAAAACAGGTAGTTCTGAGTGCTAATAATATTGTAGAGGAGCTTCAGCAGCAGTACTGTTGTATCAGATATCAGATTTATAGTCCCCAAACAGAGATATATTAGAATCTGTGCCTAAATATCAGCAGGAACAGATAAAACATTATCTGCCGCATATCCGACTCAATAAATATTTAAAACAACTATTTTCAATAATTTCAGAATGAACTACTCAAATACTTGGATTAATATAAAGTGCACTTACAATATTAACCACTGTTTGGCCTTTTTCCTCTGAGCACAGAGCAGCCTGCTTGCTTTGACTCGCAATGAACCATGGGATACCCACGGCTACTTAGGATACACCAGATCTGCCCTTCAAAACGGGCAAAATGAAGGCTGCATTTGTCGGCCGCATAACGAGGAGTCTTCCAATTAAAAGGCCTCGGTGCCACACTATGACCTAATCAGCAAACAAAGCTGGCCTTTGGAGGACGCAGCTGCTGAATTCGAACTCGGCAATGTTCCTTGTTGCTCAAAAGGAGCCAACCAATCAGCTTCTTCGACTGGCTGAGCCTTGGAAATCACAGTTTTTTGCTCTCTGACCTGTTTTAACCTTTGATTCATTAAAAAGCTGTTTTATTCACTTCCTGCTTTTCCAAATCACCTGTTTTTTTGTTTACATGAACATTTCTTTTTAAATAAAACCATTAACATGTTCACCAAAATATTACTGGACTTTACTGATTTGTATGTATAGTTATGGGTCAGACCTTTAGGTTAAATGTTAACACCTTTTTAGGATTGCTATGGATAAGATTTAAAACCTATGCAAATTATGAAATAAAATGTTTATAAGGGATTAGTTTTTCTAAATACCTCACCCGTAACTCATGAAATTAAATACGACATCCTATATTTTTATTGATTTGCTGCAGTAGTGTAAAAGATGAACTAGTGGTTCTTAGTCCTCTTCCTGCTCGGCACGCCTCATTTCAATGATTACATCACTTCCTGCATGTTATCAAGAGCTGCAAAAACCTCAAGTCAGGCGCTCAATAGCAAGGAAACACCCATATACCGCTTTAACAAAACTATTTTAACAAAATATGAAATGAAAACCTACAAAGGAAGGTAAATTTGAGATGTAACTAAATGCACTGCAAGAAAAATATTAACTAAGTTAGTCAATTTTGTCTTAAAATAAGTGTTTTTTTTAAATGAGGTAAGTGAGACACTTTGCTAAAGGAAGAAGACGTTGAAATAAAAAAAAAACTTATTTTAAATGCATATCTGAATCTGAATTTAAGGGCAAAAATATTAGCAGATCATCTTGTTAAACAGTAAATACACTTATTTAAGATTTTTTTTCTTCATTTTTAAATATTTTTTGCAGTGTGGAGCTTAAGTTTTAAAATATGGACATAATGATGTTGCTTAATAAGATCCCTGATCATTTTCTTAAAGAAAACCTTCTATCTCTGGACAATATCAAACCTGCTTTAGCTATGAGCATACTCTGTCTCACTGTAACATACAGACGGTCAGATGAGACGGTTTATCTCGTAAAAGACGATCCAGATCAATGTCACCTGTTCCTTGGTCGTCATCGTTGGGGAACAGGTCATCCAGGCTGTCCTTTGAAGAGTCTCCTCCTCCTCCTCCTGCTGCTGCTCCTTTCCCTCCACTCCCTCCGGAGCTCTGGCCCTTCTCCTCCGACAGAGAAACGTCGTCGTCAATCTTCTTGATCTGATTCATGAACTCCAGGTGCTTCTTCTCCTCCTCCAGCTGAGCGACGCACTGCTCGCTGCGCTGCAGCTTGTGCTGCGTTTCCGCCAGCTCGTCCCGCAGCCACTGGTTCTCCTGGCAGAGCCGACGCACCTGGGCGCGCAGCTTCTGCTTCTCTGACTCCACGGCGCTGAGATGGTTGGACAGAGCAATGATAACCTGAGGGGGAAAAAGGGAGAACATGATCAGAGGATGTAGGAGCAAAGCTGAAGAGCAGCAGATTAAACCAAAGCAGACCTGCGCCTCTCCCAGGCCCAGCTCGATGTCTTCCAGATTCTTCCTGAGGAGGCCGGACTTCTCCTGGGCGATGGGAGGCTGGGTACAGTCCAGGAGCGAGTGGAGGAGCTGGGTGTGTTCGCCACGCAGCGTCTCCAGGCCCTGCATGACGGCCTTAGTGTTGAGGACGATCTCATCCTGGGTCAGGCGCTCCAGGGCTTCATCGCGCGGATACACCATGGTGGACATCGCCTGGTTTTATGCACACTGTTTAAAATATATATTATATATGTTATAAATAT